GGATGTGGGAGACAGCACTTAGGGGAGAGCACCCCTAGCCTCAGCCAACCCAGTACAGCAGCAAAAGGAGTTCTGAGAAATGTACCAGAGAAAGAGACAGACCAGAGTCTAGCTGGGCCACCACTGGCTTCTAAACTCTTCTGTCTCCTCGTCTGTGAAACAAGGTCACTTAAAAGGTCAGATGACTATTATTTCAAGTTCATTAAATATGTATAGAGTACGTACTATGGATTCTAGACACGGTTTTAGGCCAATGGCTCTAGGTTTGCTCCCAGGGAACATAATAACAACTTCTGAAGGCCTTTTTGAGTGTCATAACCAACAGGGAGTAGTGGGTCAGAGACGCTACTGAACATCCGATGATGCACAGAACAGCCCCCAAAACACCAGTAGTGGGTCAGAGACGCTACTGAACATCCAATGATGCACAGAACAGCCCCCAAAACACAAAACAGCCCCCAAAACGCTACTGAACATCCGATGATGCACAGAACAGCCCCCAAAACATCCGATGATGCACAGAACAGCCCCCAAAACACCAGTGGGGCACACGTCTCTGCCCTCCCCGAGGTTACATTCCAGTGGGAAGCCACACTAAAAAGCAAAAGAAAGGAAACACGTCTTGAGTGTCACGCAGCAAACACTGCAGGTCAGGGGAGTGAGAGTATCTGGCAGAGAGCTTCTGTAGGTCAGCCAGGTGCTCCAAGAAGGCTGCACATGATTAGAATGAAGTGGGTGAATGAGGCCTGAGGCTATCAGAAGGAGGCACATTCACAACAAAGAGAAAAAGCAAGTGCAAAGGTCCTGAGGCAGGAGAGTTTGCAGCATGTCTGAGGAACAGGAAAGAAGCTAAGCTGGCACAAAACTGTGAACTGTGCGTGAGCACTATAGAACTGAGTGTAACACACACACAGCATAGCTGATATCAGAACTCTCCCCCGACCCATGGCAGTAGGTTTATGTTTATAGTGAGGGGAGAGTTGCCACTAACACTTGATGGTTGCACAATATAACTGATGTAATTAATTTCAACCAAGTGTACACCTGGAAAATGTTGTATCCTATCCCTATCCTATTGGGGACCATTGCCTTCAAGTCAGTCCTGACTCACAGCAACCATATAGGACACAGTACAAGTGTCCCATACTGTTTCAAGGCTAAAAATCTTTGTAGAAGCAGACTGCCACATCTTTCTCCCAAGGAGCAGCTGGTGGGTTCAAATTGCTGACCTTGTGACTAGCAGTCAAGTGTTTAATCACTTGTGCCACCAGGGATCCTTACTATGTATAGATTGCTGTTGTTCCTAAGTGCGGTCAATTCTGACTCATAGGGTTTCCAAGGAGCGGCTGGTGAGTTTGAACCGCTGCTTTTGTGGTTCAAACTGACCCTGTGGTCCAGTACTTTATCCCACAGCACTGTTTATATATATATATATAACAATTTTAAAAAATAGAAAAACTCTTCCCCCATGAACGACCGACCCTCTGACCACTCCTTCAGAAAGCACTGAATGGTCAGGGTCATGAAATGTCACTGAGCCCTGGAAGGAACAGAGACCTGGGGAGTCCCCCAGGACTTGAGTGAGACCACTTCCTGACACAAGTGTCCCAGGTAGGGTCTCAGTTTTGTGTGTCCAGTGACTTTTCCACCCACTTGGCTCCACAGGGAAGGGAGGGTGATGTTTACTCTGTAACCAGAGATGAAAAAACAGATGCCCACCAGCTTGGCCCAAGTAAAAAAGGCAGCTAGAGGCAGAGCCCAGGTGTGTGTGTGACCACCTAGCAATGTGGCTCCTGGGGCCAGGTTGTGGTCATCTCAGGATCCCTACAGTCAGGCACTGGACTGGCCTTAGAGAAGGCGCTGTTGAATGAATAATGGATGGCATTGGTTCAAAGTGCCTGCCCATCTGCCCACTGCTCTCTGAGAGGATGCACAACCATCTGTTTACACTCTTAGCCAACACACAGACCTCTCTTCTGGGATGTGGGCAGGTACAGGTAAGGGGAGCCTCCCCGGTAGCAAATTCCCGAGACCATCCAACGCCACTGCAATGGCTGATGTCCCCAGGACAACCTGGGAGCCTCCGACCTCTCCTTCAGCCACAGCTAGACCCTAAAATGTTAAAGAGGAAAGCTTTGGCCCCTCAGCCTCAGTCTTCCAGAAACAAACTACAGCTCAGCAGGTAAAGACCCCTTCCTCCTCTCCAGCAACAAACAAATGGCCAGATGGCCAGGCTGCTACCTATCCCAGTAGAAAGCACCAAGCACTCACCTAGCTCACCAACTTTTTTGGCATTTATTTGTCAAATGAGTGAAACACTGCCAAATGAAATGAAGGAATGGTGTGCCCCAGAGAGGCTGGTAAATACATCTTGTAACTGAGCCAAAGGTCCCACTGGCAAAGTAAGGTTGCCTCATCTGTCAAACTAGGGTCTCCTTGGGGCTCTTTTTACTCAATTTGGTAAAACCCCAACATTACTGAGTACCTACTGAGTGTGAAGGACTGAGCCGGGCTCGTGAGTGCGGACCTGGGTATTGGGGAGGCTACAGTGAAAAGAGCTTTGGAATCAGGCAGATTTTCGTCCAAACCCACCACCTCACTTCATAGCTCTATGATCACGGGACATTTCCTAACCTCTGTGCCTTAGTTTCTCCATCTCTAAATGGCAACACTCACCTCTTAGGTGTTGCTGTAAATGAGGTTTCAATGACATGCTCTAGTAAAACACCTAGCACAGTGCCTGGGCCTTAATAGGTGTTCAATAAACAGGAACGAATGTTGAGAAACAAAATACTGAGAAAGAGGAGGAACCCTTGGTCCTTGCCCCTCATCTATTGAGGTGAATAAGACACAATTAAGAAACCCTGATAGCACACTGGTTAAGCACTCTTCTGCCAACTGAAAGGTCGGCGATTTGAACCCACCCAGCAATTTCAAGGGAAGAAAAGATGTGGCTGGCAGCCAGCTCCAGTGAAGACTATTACCGCAGCTATGTACCATACAGTTTCCCAGACTGTGAAATCTTCACAGGAGCGGCTGGTGGATTCAAACTGCTGACCTTTCCATTAGCATCCCAACAGATAATCCACTACACTACCAGAGCTCCTCCCGTAAAGATTCTAGCCTAGGAAATCCTATGGGGGTAGTGCTACACTGTTACATAGGGTAGCTACGAGTCAAAAGCGACTCAACAGCACACTACAACAACAACACAACTTCATTAAAAAACAGAATGTAATCTGTTTTTAACTTTATTAAAAAACAGAATGTAACCAGACGTTGAAAGAATAAGGGAAAACTTCCAGCAAACGGTCTTGGGGGAGGGAGGGTGTCAATATGAGGAGATAGGGTGAGGGCTGTACTTCAGAGAGAGGCAGGGAAAGGCAGATACATGGTGAGCAGTCTGTGTCTCTCATGGTATGAGGGACATGTGCAGGAGGGAAAGGAAGTGTTTGACACCTCACTAGCAACTAGGATACCTGAGTTTCTGTCTCAGCCATTGGAGGGCTTCCCAGGTGGGAAGAGAGGTACTTTAGGCATGCAGAATGATTGTCTAGCTGTACTGCCAAGGAAGGATCAGCTGGAGTGGAGGTAGGAAGCCTATGGCAATGGAGGGAAGAGGCTCTGATCCTATAAGGGTGCTGCTGGCCAGGAGGGGATGAGTGTGAGAGATGCTATGGAAACACCTCTCAAACCATTCCAGGACTCTGCCTAAGGAGGAGCCCTGTGCTTCAGGCCCCGTGAAGTGCACATGCCCCTGGAGTCACCTCAGAAGGCCCAAACTCAGCACTAAGAAGCCCCCCACCTCAGACACCGTGCCCAGAGGCTGGAGACAGCTGTTGTCAATAATCACGTCCACTCTCAGAGCTGGCACTCTCCTGACCCAAAGACACCCCGGGATCTCCAGTTCTCAGGACAAGCTCTGGGGCAGCCCCCACGACCCACTCCCAACACTCACTCTAGCTGAGTCCTTCAGGTCCAACAGGCCCTATCTTCTGTCACTTAAGAAGTCAGGAGATCTCATGCATATCATCTCAGGAGCCAACACCACTTCCCTTCCCCCCTCCCCATCTGGACTTCCAGTTGAGCTAACACAGCAGAGGGCCTTCCCAGGCAAGACTATGATGGAGGGATTGCACACACTCCTCCTCCCCAGCAGGAAAAGTGAGCCATGGCCTTCCATGAAACACAAGGATCTCTTTGTAGACTCTCCCTGGCCACACAGAACACTATTGTGGTAGGTGATCTTAGTTTTAAATAATAATTCTGGGGTCCTCTGGAGACCACGTTTGCCTTGATAACTAATCCAGAAGGTTTTTCTCTTCCCTGTCCCTAGAGCTCCAATGTTCAGACCTCCAGGAGCTCAGCCCTAGGGCTACACGACACTCCTCCCTTGCACCCCAGAGCTCGCTGAGATGGGTTAGGAATGGTGGCAGGACATAACCTGAGGGGTCCTGAGAAAGGGTCTGGGCTAGAGGGAGGGAGACTGCCCACAGTCAGCCTGTGCTGTCATTAGGCACTGACTGCACACCTTGCCCATTTGCTCAGCCTGGCAGCCCTGGTATTTCTAAGAAACCCATAACCCAGAGGAAAGGAAGTCCTCTGAAGACGGTGCCAGGGGCAGCGCTCCAGCAGCGACCCTCAGGGTAGAAAGGCTTGGTTGTGGCAGTCGCAGGAGTAAAGGAGAAGGGTCCAGGGTTCAGCGGGGATCTGGCCAGGGCCCGCTGGCTGGCGCCAAACGCCCTGGTCTAGGCTCTAGTGCGTGGATAGGAAGCCCCTTTCCAGGGCGCGCTTCTGTGCCACTAGGCTTAAGGGGACCAGAGTTCCACCAGGGTCCTCTTGTGCCAGGCCCGTGAACCCAGGGTCTCCGGCGGCGCGCGCTTCTCGGTTCCCCAAACCCCTCACCCTTGACACGACGCCCAAGGCGTGCGTGGTGTGGACATCCGAGGGCTACGCACCAGTGGAGAGCGCGTAGGGTAAGTACCGCACGAATTACCCACCTGGGCTGGCATCGCGGCCCAGAGCTGCAGTCCGACAACCAGCGCGGCCCAGAGAGCAGCGGACGCCACTTTGCCGGCGGCAGCGGCGCGGCGCGGCGGAATTGGCCGCGCCCTCGCGCCTCTCTCCAGCTCGCTCCGCGCTTTGCGCGCCAGCACCTCCGACTGAAAGCGAAAGCGTGCTCCAACTGCGGGTCTAGGGACTGGCAAAGGGCGGGCTTGGGCGGGGCGGACTGAGGCTACTCCCACCTTCCCCGGGATACACCTCCTCCTTCCTCCTCCCAGGCCCCCACCCCACAAGGCTGCTGGACACCTGGAACCCACTCTGCACTAGCAGGGTCAAGGTTGCCCCAAGTCTGTCAACGCAATACTGGATTGGCACCCCTAGCCCCACTCCTGGCCTGTGGCCCCTCAAACTCCCTCTGGATCCCGTTGGCCTTTGAGTCACCACCCTTCCAGCGGGGATGGAGGACCCTCCGTGGGGACAGGCTGCCTCCAGGTGTGTAACTGCTCTGAGGTGTGCCTCTCAACCTGTCCTGCCTCCACCTACTCCTCCCACAGGTCACCTACTCCCTGGGGGCGAGACATGAAATTTGGAAAAACATCCCTTGATTCTGAAATTTGGAAAAACATCCCTTGATTCTGCCACACTCGGGGGGGGGGGGGGGGGGAGGAGGGGAGAGCCAAAGAGATTCGAGCCATTCGGACTTTGGAGCCAGAACAACAGGATCTGAATCTCTGCAGTAACCTCACAGGGCTGTTCTGAAGATTGAAAGAGAGTTAAAACAAAGGCGCCCTGGTGGGGCAGTGGTTCAAGTGCTCATCTGCTAACCAACCGGAAAGGTATGAGGTTCAAATCCACCAACTGCTCCACTGAAGAAAGACGTGGCAGTCTGCTTTTGTAAAAGATTGACTTCCTTGGAAATCCTACGGGGCTGTTCTACTTGGCCTACAGGGTCAGAATCAGCTTGACAAAAGTGGACAAATAAACAAAACTATTATCTTCTAGTCTTAGCTACCAACCCAGGTATTAAGAAGAAAAAAATGCCCCATAGGGTTTTCTTGGCTGTAATCATAACAGAAGTAGAATGTGCAGGCCTTTCTTCTGCATCACTGCTAGGGAGGAGTCCTGGTGTGGCACTATGGGTTAATGCCCTGGGCTGCAAAGTTGATTTGAACCGCAAGGTTGGTGATTCAAGTTCACCAGCCACTCCTCAGAAACCCTACACAGGCTCGCTATGGGTAGGAACCGACTCGATGGCATTTAACAAAAACAACACTGGGTAGGTTCAAACTACCAGTCTTTAGATTAGCTGTTGGTGTTATTGCTGTTAGCTTCATCAACTTGGCTGCAACTCATAGTAACCCCATGCCCAACTGCCCAGTCCCGTGCCATCCTCACAACTATTGTTCTGTCTGAGCCCATGTTGCAGCCACTGTATCAATCCATCTCACTGGGGATCTTCATCTTTTATGCTGACCTTCTACTTCACCAAGCATGATGTCCTTTTCCAGGGATTGGTCCCTCCTGATAACATGTCCAGAGTACTTGTGACAAAAGTCTCACCCTCCTGGCTTCTAAGGAGCATTCTGGCTGTACTTCTTCCGACATAAATTTGTTTGTTCTTCTGGTAGCCCATGGTGCTTTCAATATTCTTCACCAATGCCATGATTCAAAGGCATCAATTCTTCTTCAGTCTTCCTTATTCACTGGCCAGCTTTCATACATATCAGGCAACTGAAAAGACCATAGTTTGGGTCATGCACACGTGAGTCCTCAAAGTGACATCTTTGCTTTTTAACACTTTACATTGGTCCTTTGTAGCAGATTTGCCCAATGTTAATAATGTCATTTGATTTCATGACTGCTACTTCCACAAGCATTGACTGTGGATCCAAGTCAAATGAAGTCCTTGAAAACTTCGATCTTTTCTCCATTTATCATGACGGTGTTTATTGATCCAGTTGTGAGGATTTTTGTTTTCATTACCTTTCATTATAGTCCATACTGAAGGCTGTATTATTTGATCTTCATCAGTAAGCGCTTCAAGTCCTCTTACTTTCAGCAAGCAAGATTGTGTCATCTGCATATCATAGGTTGTTAATGTGTCTTCCTCCAATCCTGATACCACATCCTTTTTCATACAGTCCAACTTCTTGGATTAATTGCTAAGTATACAGATTAAATAAATATGGTGAAAGACTACAACCTTGAGGCATACCTTTCCTGATTTTAAACCAAATGGACTCCTGGTATGGATGGCGCTATAAGATCAGCACTGGACTTTGAACCACAAGGTCAGCAGTTCAAACCCACCAGCTGCTCCTCAGGAATCCTAAATAGGCTGTGAGTTAACCCTATGAGTCGGGACCAACTTAACGGCACTTAATAACAGTATCTCCTTTTTCTGATTCAATGACTGACTGCGTCTTGGTCTGTGTACAAATTCCTCATGAGCACAATTAAGTTTTCTGGAATTCCCATTCTTTGCAATGTTATGCTGAGCATGTTCTTCCCATTTGATTTTCTAACTCCAGGACTTGGAACATTTTCATTACTTTGCTTTGTCTTCTGAGCTGCCCTTTGAAATTTTCTTTTCAGCTCACCTTTAGTTTCTTTACATTCAAGAGCAAGTTTCAAAGTCTCTTCAGACATCCACTTTTGTCTTTTCTTTCCTGTTTTTTGTTTGTTTGTTTGTTTTTAATGACCTTTTGCTTTCTTCATGTATGATGTACTTGATGTCATCCCACAACTTGCCTGTTCTTTGGTCTTTGCTAATCAATGCATCAAATCTGTTCTTGAGATGGTCTCCAAATCCAGATGAGATATACTCAAGGTCATATTTTGCCTCTCGGCAACCTGTTTTAATTTTCTTCAGCTTCACCCTGAACTTGAACATAAGCAATTGATGGTTCCTTCCACAGTAGGCCCAGCTTTGTTTGAGCTGATGATTATGACTTTCTCTATTGTCTCTTCTCACAGATGTAGCCAATTTGATTCTTGTGTATTCCATCTGTCGAGGTCCACATGTACAGTCACTGTTTAGGTGTTGAAAAAGGTATTTGCAATGAAGATGTTTTTGGTCTTGCAAAATTCTATCATATGATCTTCATCATCATACTTATCACCAAGGCCATATTTCCCAACTACTGATACTTCCTCTTTATTTCCAACTTGCACATTTCAATTACCAGTAATTATTAATGCATCTTGATTGCATGTTTGACAATATCAAACTGAAGACATTGGTAGAATTCTTCAATTTCTTCATCATTTACTTTGGTGGTTGGTACATAAATTTGAATAATAGTTGTATTAACTGGTCTTTCTTGTAGGCATATGGATATTATTCTATCACAGACAACACTGTACTTCAAAACAGAACTTGAATCTTTTTGATGAAGGAAATGATACCATTCCTCTTGACCTTCTCATTCTCGGCATAATATACAATGTGATTGTCCAGGTCAAAATGTCCAATACCAGTCCATTTCAGCACACTAATGCCTAGGATATTGATATTTATGTATTCCATTTCATTTTTGATAGCTTAAAATTCTCCCAGATTCATACTTCATAATTCCACATTCTGATTACTGTAGCTGTTTCTTCCCATTTTAAGTCCTGCCCCATCAGCAAATGAAGGTCCTGAAAGCTTTGCTCCATCCACATCATTAGAGTCAACTCCACTTGGAGGAGGCAGCTCTTCCCCAGTTGTATTTTGAGTGCCTTCCAACCTGAGGGGCTCATCTTCCGGCACTATATCAGACAATGCTTCTTGCTATTCATAAGGTTTTCAGTGGCTAATCCCTGATAAATGTACCACCTATTCCTACTTCCTGTTTTTAGTCTAGAAGCTCCACTGAAACTTGCCCACCATGGTGACCCTGCTGATACCTGAAACACTGTTGGTATAGTTTCCAGCATCCTAGCAACACCAAAGGTACCACACAGTATGACAACTGACAGATCAGTGGGTTTGTAATCTAGCACAACTGTCTGTGCCACCCAAGAATCTAAAGATATACAATATACATAATATTGTGTGTGTATATATATGTATTCAAAAAGTTCGTGGAAAAATGGAAGTAAAAGACAATGGAATTTTTCCATGAACTTTGAAGCCCCCTCATATCTGTGATTTAAGTACTATGGCTGACAAGTACACAACCAGGGACATAGCACCATTCCAGAAGTTGTAGGGGCCATAGGACTGGCTTCCCTAGAACTCATCATGACTGAACAGCTACCTCAGCTGCCAACTGCCACCCCTTCTTTGAGTACCAGCCCTAATACAAGAGCACCTTCTAAGCCAAAACATAATCTCCCAGCTGAGACTTATCGGGGTGCCCCAGCCCTGGCACACAGGGCATTTTGAGAAGTGGGATGCTGCCTCATTTTCCCATTCCCCCACTCCAGGCTGCCCCAAAAGGTACAGGGCCCCTTGCTCTGAGCTCCCATGATGAAACACCCAAGACGGTGCTTTCAGGCATTAAGGAACTGGGAAGTGACCCTTTTGGAGGGTGGGAAATCCCACCTCCTGGCCAGGAGGCTGGGAAATCACCTGGTTCCCACATATTTCTGAGACAAGGGCTGTGCTGAGGGTTTGGCTAGTGTGGTCCACAGACTAAGTGTGCAGAGAAGGTCAACCACCAAATCAAGCATGAAGATTTCTTCTGGCCTTAAAAGCTTCGCTTGGGAACAATTGTAAGGCTTCTCAGTTCCAGAAGAGAACGCAAGGGTCAGGAATGGGGGTGTCTCCCTGGTGAATGTAGGGGAAGATGGTTCTCCCTGGATATCCCCCCTGGCACCTCAAACGCAATTGGGCCAACTGACTCATGACCCACAACCAGTTCTTTATGCCAGCTTCCCCATCCCATGAATGGCCGCATCCTCACACAAACATGGGAATCCTCCTAGGATCTCATCTCCTACCTCAACTCAGAAATGTTGTGACAGTACATTCTGAACAAGCTGGCCTTCATCAGGTGGGTGGGCTCAAGCCCAGTCTTGTTCCATGTGCCAGGCTATTGTAACAGCCACTATACATTTTCAGGACCTTCCAACAAAGGGAGCTCATCCTCCAATACTATGTTGGGGAATATTCTGTTATAATCCCAAGAGTTTTCAGAAGTAGATGGTTAGACCTTTCTTCTTTGTCTGACTTTATCGAAAAAGCTGCGCTGAAACCTGACCACCATG